TATGTATATGTATATGTATATGTATATGTATATGTATATGTATATGCATATGTACATGTATATGTATATAGATATGTAGATATAGATATTTATTATCAGTTGTACATATTTCATCTGTGCATTTAGCATTATGTACCCAGCCTTCCAGAATCCAGTCCCAGGAGTCCAAGACGCGGACTCCCAGAGTGACAGAGTCCCAGACTCTCAGTCGCCCTCATCCCCACACATACAAGAAGTGTGGCTAAATAAGTTAAAGTAACTGGTTGCAATCCAAATCCACGTCAATTTTTCGTTTATTATTTCTTTTAACAACAAAAAACAATATATATATACATATTTTGGGTTTTGTTTTGTTTTGTATAAATAAGAAGACTGTCGGGACTCGGGAATCGGGTGACGGGTCCCTGTCAGGCTGTCCCCTGAGACCCAGGGTGAGAGTCCTGACAGTCTCGGGGAGTCTTGGACTCTGGGGCCGGGGTGTACTGGGCTCTCCGGCTCTGGCTTTTTAAAATATACAATTTATACATAGTCACTGTATTTTTAGCCTGTGACGTATATTAATTAAAATTGTGGCCTTAGGCTCTTGATATTATAAATAGAGAATATTTAAGGAAAGCCCAGATACACGAGGCTATGGTTCGCAGTCACTTAGCACTCGGACGGTTTATACATTCCACAATCCGAATTGGGCCAAATGTATGAACTGCATCCAAGCAAAAACTTGCTAGAATGTACTTTTTGCTGAGGATGAGTGAAGTCCATTGTTAGTCCATAACAAAACCCAAAATAGCAAACACTTACATACATGGGTCACGTTCCGTTTGTATATATTTAGACTCTGGTGGAAAATCTTTATTGATGCACTGAAGGTTTGAAGCCACAATCTGTTGCAATGTCTCTGGCTTAGTAAAAACTCGCGAGACCTTCGAGTTCTTAGTGTTGCGTCTGTTGTACATCGGCGCGTCCGTATCTGGGTGGTCAAAAATTGTGTGGTGGTGGGCGTGACAGGTTCCACGGTTTATTGGTAACCCCGTCAATGTCAGGGAGATCTTCCGGAGAGAACGTCGTGTAGGGCGCCTGTATACTGGCTACTCGAATATCTGTACCTAATGGCACTTTTTGAAATGGATTCAGTGCTGCTGGTGTATTGAAACAGTATACCAGTTTGGCTGTCTGTCTCGTATGGGTCGAGAGTGACAGTCTAACATCCGTGCCGCGGACGTCTCACTAGATGGTGCGAGTTATTGTTCAAATTACTGATCTGCTGATACCGTGGATCTAATTCTTTCGGAAAAGTTGGTTGTGTGGAACGTGCTCACTCACGGGTCGGGTCCAGTCGTCATTGGTGCCTGGATATTTGTACGACAATTTTATGTACGTACTTACGTTTACATACAACTTTTGTGCTGCATCCTGTGCTTTGTTCAATGACGCGGTTGCCAAATCCAAATCTTCGACAGGTAGCTTTTTATGCTGGCAGCACGTCGTGGCGAAGCACGGCGTGAGTTCATATCCCAGCTCGTTTACAGCCGGCGTTGGATCTCGGAGGTCTAAACGTCGTCAGAAATTGTTGAGAAATGGCGGGCGAGTAAGACCACCCGCTAGCTTGGCTAGGAGTGCAACTTTTTAGGGTGAGAGATCAATGATCCGGTTGCTTCTGTTAAGCTCAGCGGTTCGGGAGACTTGGTGCTTGATTAAAAAGAAATAAGGTGTTTTTAAACGTGAAGAGGTACGATGTTTGTGAATAGTACGCGAGATATTATTTCGTCCGGCTAGTGTTTTCTCTTCAAGAGGGGGTAGGCAATGTTGCTACTGTGCTACGAATGGTGACTGTTGATCCTGAATATAGCAATCATGCGCTTGAAATCAGTGAAGTTAACTAGCCAACCTAAACTCTCCGTGCATGGAATGGAAACGCTGCAAATAAGGTTAAATACAAAAATGCCTACTGCGTCTTTGTGTGATCGACTCGTATGCTGATTGAGCATATGTATTGTTGTTCGACTGGACTACTGCAAATTGTGCATTTGCGTGTAATAAACATATCACTCACATGTGTTGCCATGGCGACAATGGGACGTGTGTGATCATTTCCCCGATTTGACAACTATGGCGGGTACCGATTGGCTGCGATGATGATTTTATTATTGGCCAATTCTACTAGTATGTACTGAGAAAATGACGAGTTTGTACATTCAATATCGTCCTATTAGTAAGTGGTCCTCGAATAATCATCCGTGCAATACAAAATCAGAATATGTATATCTTGATAATGATGTTACTACTCAATATTTAAAAAAAAATAGATAATCCAAAAAGGATGAAACAGCTGCAGCCTTCAAAATCCATTTGAAGTTTCACTAAAATACCACAGGGTGTATGTTGAAAACCAAGGATACTTCATATCCGACGTGCTGAAAAGACTATTGATAAAATGAGATAGCAGAGCTCTGCCTGTTTCATCGATACCCATTTATCAATCAACTAGAGAGTACTGATGCGCATGTTGGATTGGAGCACTGTATATCAAAACTCATGCCAAATTTGTAATGTTTGCACGCAGTAATATACAACCTACATGGTAGTTTATGGTACCAGAACTGAATAACATATTGCATTTTAAGAACGAATCTTCCGGTTATTGATTTGATTTTAATTCTTCAACGCAATGCATAACCAACTATGCTTGTAGCACGCATAGACCCAGAAGCTAACTTCATGCATCGTCGTCATCCTCCATCGTTTCGCTCTCGCCCTTGATGTCTCCCGCTCGATACTCTGGCTTGAGCTCATATAAATTCTTGTGCTTTCCTTTTTGGTGGTACACGCACAGCTGCAGATTCACATTTTTTTGGTATCAAGATTGTAGTTTAGTGTTCATGACACGGAAAGTCATCGAATATCCAGAATTGGACGCAATACATGATAAAAACTAATCAAAACGAAAGCATCGGTTGAATACGTACGCTAGCTGGTGACAAAATCACAGAAATCGAGTCTTTGAATCAGCACAACTCGGTTTTGTGGATATCTTGACCATTCACACGCGCTGTGGTATACATATGTCCCGACCAATATAGAGTGAAACGGGAAGAAGAGTTTGTAGTTACACCTTCATATATATATCGGGAAGAAGAGTTTGTAGTTACACCTTTATATATATATATATGACTTAGGACGTTGCCACGCTACCATAAACTGCCATGTTGTAAGATAACACTCGCGTACTCACGTCGTGGTATTGGCGTTTTCATAGTTTTTAACTAGATTTGTGCCTCAGCACCCATGAGCAACCTGAACGTAGCAACAACCTGAGCTGAAATAAACACTGCCGTACGTGCCACGAAAATCACACACCGAGATAAACGCACATATACATAAGCCTTTCGAGCTTGCTTAGGCATATACGCCAGCCTTGCGTATCGCACATGAATGTAGCTTGCCATAGGGTAACGAAGGTTTGCCCGCAGATGAATATAGCTTGCTATAGGGTAACGAAGGTTTGCCAGCCCACAGATAGTATGGGCAACAGCTTTATATCGTCCAGCCAACGCTCGAGTGTTATTACACTGTGTCAAGCTGTGAAAGACGAAGGCCATGTAGAACATCCACATATAAGCTTACACGTACACACACATAGATATACAAACTTACTGGTACAACACAAATACATACACACACACACACAAACACACACACACACACACACACACACACATATATATATTCATGTCCGACTGGCTGTGCACACCTTCCTGAGCGCAGTCTTACACACACACACCACCACACCACCACACACACACACATATATATATTCATATCCGACTGGCTGTGCACACCTTCCTGAGCGTAGTCTTGACGAATTCTTGTGGCTGGTTGGTAATGTTGACTAGATCCTTAAGTGCGTAATACTGATGTTCCTCGAAGGCCTTGAACAACAATTCTTCCAGGTCGCTCTCCTCAATACGCACACGCTTGTCCTGTGATATATATACAGTGCGAGAGGATAGATTAGGAGACGTTAACTTGTATGGGGACAGATACAGGACACAGGCATTCATACTGGAACCATTTTCTTTCTTCCACCAAACCCTCTCCCTCATGTGTACTTATTTTCTTGAAGATAGAGCGAGATAGAGACACAAACTCGCGCGGCGGAGAGTACCAAACTGGCTTGACAAGTAAAAGATCAGCGTGTGCATTGCTCCGCAAGGCATAAGACCACATGGTTCCAACCACAAGCCATCCTGCCTGGTTAAGCTTTTAAACCGGGAGTTCAACCTTAAACGACAATCACAACCAATTCCTAAACATCACTAGATACCAAATGGTACGAGAGAACGCGGCTGTGAGTGTGAGAGAAGGACACACACAGAAACAAAACGTCCACAGCTATGTACGGAAGCAACCAAGCCCTCATACTCGCCTGAGGTGTAGCTGGCAGGTACACACCAAAGCATCTGACACAGACATGAACTGCTTAAAGGGTTGTTTTCGTTTTTGCATTTGTACAGGTACGCAGCGATACACACGGCCACAGAGACGCGGTAGCACATTCAAATACACGATACAATAGTATAGCCCATCCACATACACACAGCCCCGCACCCACCCAACCACCCACACACACATGCAAACATGCATATGGAGTAGTTCTTACACACACACCGAAGGGTCTCGCACCACCGACTGTTGTGGATTCTTGGTAACGCTGAACACGTGCTTCTGTGTAAGTAAGCGGTTGCCACGACGTTCATCGAGCTTGTACTCCTGAGTCGCTGCTCTATCAGTGGACTTCTTAAAACGCTCCGCCAGTTGCCGTTTGTATCTGAGAATGGCATGGATGTCGAGTCCATATACGCATGAACATTATATATTAATACGTATTAATATGTATTAATATGTAGTAATATATATATATATATATATATACACACACACACACACACATACACACACACACACACACACATATATATAATCTAATTCTTGTAGCGGATTAGAGCACCCGTTGTTCGTGGATATATATAAGGAAAGGACATGGATTCGGAAGTGCATGCAAGTACAATTATTGAGGCTTTCGTAGTTGACAAGAGTAACAGTTGTGGGCGTATTACGCAAACATTTGAGCAGAAATCGAAAATGGAGTTATTGGCATAGATTCGTAGCTATGCAAGTGAAGGCAACTTACTGATGCTACACAATTGGAGTATCAACCAAGGTGAACGCATGTGCGTAGGATGGCGTTTAAGTCTAAGCAGCAAGTCGGGAGATAGGGTGGCGACATAATGGGTAAACTACCCTATGTACTCTCTAAATCGACGCACCTATCCTGCTCCATGCGTGTGGCTTGGTAGACTCTCCACCCTCGGGCGTTCCAAAATATGATACGCAATTGAACATACGTCGTCTGCTCATACACATGATTGGATAGATGCACACCTATACACAAACAGTACCTGAACCCATCCTTGGGTATGCATGTGGCTCTGTGGTTGATTCCTCCGACCATCGTCTTTTTCTTCTTGAGACGTTCTTCTCGCAGCACTAACAACCCTTCTTTATCCGCCTCTTTCAGCATCACATCGTACCTCCTAATAAGCAAACGAGAACCTATGAGACGTATGTAACTTTTTCGCATGGTTTTTGTTGTTGTTGAACATTAATGCTTAAGAAGCTACACCTAAATATGACTCACGGGGGTGCAATTTGACTTCCCGCACGCGTATACCCTTCTGATTTATTATATCAATACATTGTGTGAAATGACGCAGCAGCACCTGAAAGCAGGCTGCGCCCGGACACCTTCAGATCCACAGTTACGACTGCTACCATTCAACACCATGATCACCCTATGAATAAGCAACTGATTCCTATTGACCGCTTGTAGTGTGTATAACGGTGCAAGTGTCTGTGCAGTTTAATATGCATTCGCTATGAAAATAGCCCAAGGCGTTTGCTCTTAACACAGTGAAGGAATATTCAGTAACAGTACCTGTTGATTTGGTACATATGTCAGCGGAAAAAGACTAAAGTACTGTCGCGATCCACTTGCACATAAAACATACCTTGGCGTGTTTTCTGAAATACCGATGTTCTCCTTTATGTCCATAACTAGCTTTTGCCTGTGAATTATTAATTGATATCCGTTGTGTCAACTGCTCTGAAAGTTAATGCTAATTCACGAGCGTGTCCACGCTTGATAGATCTAGCAAATATACAATTCTTAAGACCGTCAACACTCCAAAAAACACCACGCATGGTACGGATGGTACACTTGATCAATTAGAATCATACATATATATACATATATACATACACACACACACACACACACACACACATACATATAAATACATATATATATATATATACACACATATATATATATACATAC